TCCAGCACCAAAAATGGCATAGTCCTAAAATCAGCAGACCCCAAAACCCAAAGCCATTAAATCTTGCCAACTGAAGCCTATTGTTCTCCTGGAAAGTATAACAGCATCAACATATGTTGGTTGTCCCTAGTGAGAAGATTATGATCATATATTTTTGCTTTGTTTTATCTTGAACCTTACATCTGGCTTGGAGACCAGAATACTTCAAATATAGATTTCTCATCTGAAGTGTGCATGCAAGTAATTGTTGTATTTCAATTACTCAAGCAAAAAAGATCGATGGCTCAAGTTGAAGAGCTCTTCAACTTCAACCATCAAAGCTCAAAATCTGCTTCTCATCTTGGAACTGGGAAATAGCCACTAAGATTAGAATCTCCTTCTAAAGCCACCTGAAATGCTGTATCATATGGGAGAAAATTCTGCAGGTTTCAGAATGAGTCTTTTGTATACAGTCAGAGACAACACTGTGGACCAATATTAGCTAAGATATGGACTCCATTAAAACAATAGGGCCTACTACCCTCTGAAAACTTAAGCACAATTTGAATTCTTATATCCAATCTTCTGCTAAATTAATAAAAAGACAATGAAAGATGGGCTTTCAAAAATAAAACTATTTCTCAAATTAAGACACGATTTATTGATTTTGGTCCAAATTATGCCTGACAAACCTGAATACTTCTTATCAGCTCTTATATTAACACAAATAGCTCTTTGCTAAGGATTGCCAGAAAGAGATTAATACATCTATAATTGTATATCATACAGACAGGATAGTTGTAATTTAATGCTGTTTTTATCCCCAAACAAGATTTAATAGCTAAAGCACAACAATTAGCAATTCCTGCTCTAAACTGATTATGTCTAAATTGTTATAGCTACAGGGCAAGTGAAGCACATGGGAACAGAAAGCAGAAAGCTGGGCCAGCAAATGGCAGAATTAGTGGCTGGTTATGGATGCTTTATCCCCAGAGTTTACTGCTATGATGAGGAAGGAAATGTTCTTGAATGTGCATACTCACCATTATTTCAACATTACACAATTTTATTGGGGAGGGAGATACAATGAAAGAAAGTCTTCCAAAAGCTAGGGGGCAGCAGCTGACCAATTTTTCCTTACAGAACTACAACGGACACCTGTTTTTTTTCCTTTATATTCTTAGGAAACAACCCACAAACTTTTAACTCAGAAGAGTTCCACAATATGGCATGGCATCATACTACAGTTCAGAGACATCCATAGAGGGATGTCAAAAAAGGGGAAATGCCAGCCACAGAACTAAATCTCACCTCTTTGTAATATGCAACACATGGGCTTTAACTGCATAGTCACATCTGCTGTCTTGACTTTTTTGACACCTGCCCTTCTTCATAGCTCCCCCCCCAATGCTGTTTTAAGTTTATATCTGTAGTAGTTATCCATACAGAGAGACAGAGAGACAGTCAGAGACAGAGAGAGAGAGAAAGAGAAAGAGACAGAGATAATCTATATCTAAACATAAATATAGATATATAAAATATTTTAACTAAAATAACTAAATCATTTTGAACAATGTGTCCTTTGTCCTTTTCTGTATCCAGTTTTTGGTGGTTGAGACATGAAAACCTCATCACCTATTAAAATCCTGGTGTTCTCATTCCAAAGCGCAGCTGACTGGATGTCCTGATACAAACATTCCTATACTAATTCAGTCAGAGATCTGCAAATCTTGGGGGAAGGGTGTTCAAAAATTCACAACTACTTATTTATTTATTTATTTATTTATTTATTTATTTATTTATTTATTTATTTATTTATTTATTTATTTATTTATTATTTGCCCATTCATCTATCCACATTTATGTATCTACTTATATCTATCTATCTATCTATCTATCTATCTATCTATCTATCTATCTATCTATCTATCTATCATCTATCTTTATCTATATCTTATCTATACCAGGGCTGTCAAACTTCTGGCCCATAGGCCAGATGTGTCATGTGCTGGCCATGCCCACGCTCGGTTTAGCAAAGGGGAAAATAGTCCCAATATGTCACATGATGCCGTCGTGATGACGTGAGATTGACACCCCTGATCTATACCTACACCTATATCTATCGATCGATCGATCTGTCCATCTATCCATCTATCCATCCATCCTTCCATCCATGGAAGAGGAGGAAGAGGAAGGAGAAGGAGAAGGAGAAGGAGAAGGAGAAGGAGAAGGAGAAGGAGAAAGAGAAGGAGAAGCAGTGACCTCTCATGGCAAAGAGGTTCAAATACACTGAATTTTAAAGCTATGTACAATAGGTCTGCCCATGATCAGGGCATTGTATGCATGCAATGTGATTTCCTATTCTTTTGTACCTTCCCATGTTCCTGCACCTCCTAAACCTGCTCCACTGAGAACAGATTAAGTAATTTGGATCACTGTGTGGCACAATTGCACCCATTCCTGGATCAGGAGGGTTCACAGTCACTCTTGCCTTAGCCACCTCTAGATTGGACTACCATAGTGTGCTGTACAGGAGGCTGTCCTTGAAGAGTATGTGGAAGCTTCCACTGATGCACAATCTATGTGCCTCTAGAACAGCAAATGTTATACCTCTGCTCCGCGAGCCATATTGGCAGCCAGTTTGCTTCCAGGTCCAATTCAAGGTGCTGCTTTTAAGCTTTAAAGACTTTCATGGCATGGGGCTGGATTACCTGAGGGATTCCCTGATTACCTCAATCCACTTCTTCAGATGTGGCAGAGAAGGTATGAGTCCTGTGGGCCCTGTCTGTGAGGGAACTCACAGGAGATGAGCCTTCTCTGCTATGATACTGCCTTTTCCCCACCCCAAGTGAGATTAGTTCCATCCCTGTTAATGTTCTGGAAGTCCATCAAGATCTGGCTATGGCTTTGGGTAGGGTGCGGTGGAATGTAGTCAGGATTCCCAGGAGGGAGGAGCTGTATTATAGAGAAGCAAGAAATTGTGAAGTTTCATTTCATTTGGAGGAAGATGGTTAAGATGCCTCTTTCCCAGAAGTTCTCAGAATATGTGTTTAATGATATGAGTAGTGTGCTTTAGTTTGGCAAGATTTCTGCCTATCAGTGAAGAACAATAAAGGAAACTGTTTTGAAGTATCTCACAGTGCCTTTCTTGATTTTTGGAGCCTGACATCTGGAGTCACAGGGAACCAGAGACATTCTTAAATGGCTCCACTATTGTAGTTGATATGTTCACTTTCTCCATGTACCTTGTGGTTTGTATATTTTAATAATGTTCTAATTTTTAATAATGATCTGTATATATTTTTATAATTCTTATTTTTATATATTTGTTATTTTAGTTGATTGTTGTAAACTGCCCTGAATCATTTGTTGTGAGATAGGTAGCCATACAAATTTAATATCAATAAAATTGGACTTGCTTTAAATTGACCTGCTTCCCCCTTCACCAGGCTCTGGTGAAACAAACAATTTGCTTGTTTCTTCCTTTTATTCAACCTTGATGCCTCTGGTGCGGAGTCTTTTAATTTGGAAGCCTGACAGCGGGGCCTCTTCATTTATAAACTCTGCTTCATGAACTGCTTGTGCTGGAGAGAAGGATATATTAAGTTTAAATAAATAAAGACCAGTGTTATTCAACGAAGAAAGCCCTTGGAAATATTCAAAGCGCTACATGTCTCTTCTAAGTTATATTCTTGATAGTAATGCTGTGTGGTTGAGTCATACGAAGTGGAGTTGAAGCTTGAACTGTAATGGGCCTAAAGATATGATGTCATGACTTTTTGGCAAAGACACAACTATGCTTCACCACTTCTGCTAGGAGAGTGCCAAAGAAGCGAGAGGGGAACAGAGTAGAAGAAAAGGCAATGTGGTGTGTAATGTGATGTCAGTGGTCACCTTGTCTATCACATGTAAGGATGTAAGAAAGCACATTGATTCGTCTTACCTATTACCACTGATGAGTCAGCAATCAGTCAAGATTCAAATTGAGAATTTCTACATTCAGTCATCTAACCTCTCAATGCTATCTCAGCTTTCCATTCATCTTTCCTTTATTTTCTCCACCTTCTTTAATTCACATTTCTTCTAATACGAGTCAGAAAACCATGGCTGAAACCTCAGCTCTGCTCTGGATGCCTTCCAGAACCTTAAGAAAGGCATTATTTCACATGGACAATCAAGTTGTCCTGCCTTGGTGGGTTCTCATTAAGATCACTGGGTCGATGTGGGAAAAGAAGCACATCTTGTCAGGGTGGAAGTCCTTCCTTCCTTCCTTCCTTCCTTCCTTCCTTCCTTCCTTCCTTCCTTCCTTCCTTTCCTTCTTTGACTTCCCTTTTCTTCTTATAGATTAAATTATTTGGTCCAGGGGTATAAAATAGGCAGCTTCTTTCAGAGGAAGCTGGGAGAAGAATTTGGGGGTGGGGGGAAGAGAGAGAGATTTTATTTGCGTTTGACAAGAGCTGCTGGCTTTTAGGAAGTCAAAGACATCCTCTCCCGTTTACAGATTCATTTCTTCCCTTTGGAATCTCGAAACTCTTCCCAAGGACACACGTCTGATACAATACCAAGTCCTGTGCAGCCCTTGCTCTAAGAGGAGCTACTTCCTTCTTTTTGTCCACTGTCCACCAGTTAATTGTGGAGCCAGCTTGACAGCACCCAGTCTGAATTCCGTAGTCTGAAACTTCCTTAATCTGGTTTTTCCCAAAGGGTTCCATTCTAGCATCCCAGGGGAACACCGTTGGGGAAGGCTACCATCACGAGAAGGGATGGTGAAGGGTTTTGTTCTCCCCTCCGCATCCCCACCAAGGAAAGGGATCTTTTTCCGGAGTTCTGTCTTCCTCCAATCCACTGTTTTCATTTGTCTGGACTTTCGCTGCAGTGTTTAACACAACCTAATGACACTGAGAGGGAGGGAGGGAGGAAGAGAGAGAGAGAGAGAGAGGGAGGGAGGGAGGGAGGGAGGAAGAGAGAGAGAGAGAGAGGGAGGGAGATTGAGATTGAGATTGAGAGATTTAGCTCCTTCACGGTCAGGCTGCAAAGAGGTCTGGGATCCGTGGGAAAGCGAGAAAGGGGGTTTGGTCTCTTTGCCCTCTGGGGGTCCCGTGCCCATAAGCCACATCTAAAGAGGAGAGGCGAAGTCTCCGACGCAGTTTGCCTGAGTCTGGGACGCAGGGACTGGTTGCTTTCTTCTTCCCGCTCCACTCTGGAAGCCACAGCCCTCGGGGATTTATCTCGCCCATCGCTGCCTCTCGCCGCCGCGTCCTGCAAGATGTCACGAGCGACAGAAAGAGGCGACGCTGCCACCTGCAACCCTTCTCTGCTGAGCAACGCAAGAGGGTGAAGTCTCGCTGCTGCAGCTTCGGCTTCTGCTGAGGAGGGGAGGGGGAGAAAAAGGGGGTGTCACACTGGAACCCTGAGGAGACCGATTCTCTCCTTCCACGAGAAGAAACCCCCCCCCCTTCTCTCTCTCTCTCTCTCGACCTCCTCTGGCTTGTCCAGCCATCGGAGGAGAAAAGCAGCTCTTGAGCGCGGGGCTTCCTTTGAGCAGACCCACCAGAAAGCAGGAGTCCACTAATGCGGCGGAGAGGCGGTCATTTCAGCAGAAAACCGGGGCTCGCCTCTGGAGACTCAGCCAAACGCCAAGGAAGACGGGGTGCCTTTTGGTGGACGTGAATTTCCCCAGCTTTGGAGACGGGGGCGCCTCTCCTTTGAAAAGCCTCGCGGATTCTGAGCTGGTTGCCTTTCCAAGCAAGTGAGTGACCGCCTGCCAACCTCTTTCTCTCTTTGCTTTCTTTGCTTTTTTTGTGTGTGTGGGGATTTTATCCTTCAGAAGGGAATCCGGGATTCCTTTTCCAGAGCAAACCGAATTGCTCGGCCAAAGTTCCCAACTTTTAGGATCTCTCTGCTTCTCCATGCAACCAGAAAATCAGAACAAAACAAAAGGGGCATCGGCAAAGGGCCAGGACAGAAACTCCTTAGTTCTTCTGGGCTGAAAAACATCCCTAGATGGCTGATGCCATTGATGCCATTCCTGAATAACACTTTTTAAGGGAAGGAGCCAGCCTTCTTTTTAATTCTGAATTCAAGTCTCACTTACTTAGAAGAACCTTTCCTTTGCCATATAACAGACCTGCATGCATGCATGCACAAACCCAAAGCCGTGTTCCTGGATAAGCCACAAGGAAAATATTTAAGGAGGAAAATGTATGGAGAACTTCTCAATTCAACCACTGCATCCGATCCCCACCTGATCGTTCAGACCAACACTCCCTATCCAGGGAGCACCCAGAGACCTATCAGCTCTTCAGGTTTTTACATGTCCACAGCCAGAGTGTTAAAAGAAGGTGAAATTAATAAGCCAGACCTGGTGACATATGTTGTCCTGTTCTTCCTCCTGCTCTTGGCTGTCACGATCATTGTACTTTTTATTAACTGCCAGCTGAAACATTCTTTTTTTGCTACACTTCCTTATGACCGATCCCTGCGAGAAGCTAGGAGCCCATGGAAAACGCAGGCTGTCTAATCTTCGGCAGTAAGAAGGGAGTGGGGAAAGTCTAAGCTAAGCTCTGTTATGACCAGGAGGATCTCGTGAACTCTCTTATGCAATTTGCCAAGGGGAAATAAAGCCAGCTCTGTACAAATGAAGATTTTTCTCTTCAACAACTAACTTCGGTACTAAACATGATCTGAAAGAGACCTATTTCACATACAGGTGCATACTTTTTTCTGCATGTGCAAGATGATTACAAAAAGATGTAAATAAAAAGAATGTGTATGGATCTCCACGAGTCAGTTATTATCAACGTCCATGTATGGATCCGGGTGCGTATAGTCAATGATTTCAGACTGCGTATTAAAAGTAGGGATATACATTTCAGCAGTTCAGCTCACTATACAGCAAGGCTTGCATTGATATATATATACGGTCAAACTCTGATGCATTCTTGCCAGTCTTTGCATGGTTTATTTGTTAGTTTGTGTACATATTTACGTGATGCCATTAAGCACTCTGTGCTGATGAAGCTGGGATCTGCCCCCCCTTCCCGAATCTTTTGCCTTTTGTCTTAAGATATTACATATTGTAATTTAGTGGAAGATGTTAAAAAAAGGAAGAGAGATTCTAAAATCCAAGGTCTTGCTAAGTATCTGCTTTGGTTCTTATTAAGAAGTACTATTAAAACTTGTTTTATAATTGGGTTCTTTTGAGATAATTATATTGTTACTACTGTTGTCTGCCTATGATCCCCAAAGATAGTGAAAGTGATTGCTTGCACTCAGGAACCAGAACTGCTGAAATAATGACATTTACGCATTGTAAACCTACTATAAAGTCCCATAAACCCCAGAAGCATCTTCTACTCTCTGAACATAATTTTAAAATACTCTGTAGTTTAATATCTTTCTTCACTGCTGGACTGGAATGTTATCTGCCCTCCTTGAATCAGCACAAAACTAATTGGCATCAAAGTTTCCATCAATTGCTGATCCTTCCCCTGCCTCTTAATTTTTTCCATCATATTGGGTGATAAAATCTGAGAGATTTTTACCTTGGTTGGGATCACAATAAGTGGGGAAATTCTACTTTCATAGTAGAACAACTAAAGATAACTTAAAGGCTACTAACCTACATAGAGTAGGAACAAGTTCAAAGCAATAGAAACAAAATAGGGACTATGCAGGACTGTGGGGTCCTTGGTGCTCTCTGAACTTGATGGTTTCTTGCAGCTGTTTCATTACTAAACTGGGTAAGATCATCTGTGCCCTAGTTTCTTGCACTAGTCTGCAAGAAAGCTCAGAGAGCACCAAGGACCCCACAGTTTAACCCTGAGCTACAAATATTCTTTTTTATTGCTACCATGCATGGAGTACAGCAGAAAACTGTATTGTCCAAGTGCATCTTGAAGAAAGGCCATTAATCAGAATTATTGTCTATTTCAGTGGGTGCCTAACAGGCTAACTTAATTATAAAATGAAATAAAGAATGACTCAAACCAGTAACTCAATTGTATTAAAGTGTTTACACTGGAAGAAAATATAGTACTCTCTAATCTGAGCACTTGTACACACATCTATTTGCTCAGAATTTGAATTCAGTGGGCTGTACACATCAGTAAATGGACATAGATTAATTAATGAAAAATGTGAATTAATTGGGGGGGATTACAACAAGCTAAAGAATACCTTATATTACATATATGGAGAGGTGGAAATATCTTAAATTGAGCCGTAAGACTTAAAAATCAGAAATATATAAAAAATATAAACCTTGCTGTTTTATTCAGCTACAGTATTTTAAACTTTCAAAATTAAAATCTGTGTTTATTAATCCTATTCTCTACTTTTAATCAATTGTGATTTGCCTGCAACTACTGAGAATGATGTTGCTTAATTGCCCTTGCCAATTATGTGCTTTTATTCCTTCCCTCTAATAAGGTCCATTCCTCCTTTTAAAATAGTCACTTGAATATTCAATGTTTCTAATGGCAATTTCAGGAATTTAAGAACAGTTCTGCATTTGAGTGTCTCATCACATTTCTTTGGCAAGACAGAGTTATGGTGGGGCCTATCTCAGAACATCAGCACAGCTTTCACTGGTGCAGTGTGTATAAAACTAATGTGAAGTGTGTGCCACTGAGCAATAACAAACATAAAATAGTTTTGCACTGTTGGTTCATCAGAGGGAAACTGATTTATAACACAGAGTATATTGTAGCATCCAGAATTGTGAAGGCTAGAGTTAACCCAAATAACAAACCACAGTGGCGGGCATTTAGATGTATAACTAATACTACTAAGATACCCATGGATACCCATTCATGTTTCTTAATTTTGAAAATAAGGTAGAAATCAGTTAAATATAACTTCTTGCCAAGCCCATACTTCTGTTGTCATTATCTTCAGTTTCTATGTAAAAATGTTGCACACTTTGGTATTGATTGAAGGATTGATTGAAAGGTTCAATGGAAGGCAAAGTTCTGTAGAGTTGTTTATATCTATAAAAGATTCATTCTGCTATTGCCATAAGCCGAAATTCTAAGAGATATCAATAAGTTGAACATTCTGGAAAGCTGCCTTGAAGATCTATTGAATTAGAGAAATACTTGATTGCGCACAACAACTGAATCATATGTGGAGTGAGGAGAAGACTCCATTCAGGAAAGGTAAAAAATTTTAAAATGTGTGTTATTCCCATAGGTTAATGTTGAGGCTACACAAATATTGGTTGTTGCAAAATCTGGCCAAGTATTGGAAAGGGACAGAGGAAAGGAGGATTTAATATAGGTTTACCTCCCAATGTATTCGTCTCTAGAGAAGGTCAATTAAATCATTAATCAAGAGTTCCCTCAGCCTCATGCTGCTAAAACTTGAATCAAACACACCAGTTAATACAACGTCTGACCTCTAAATTGGTTTATACTGGTGCCATTATGAATCTCAGTTTAATATTTTTTGGTAATAATCGTGTTTTAAAGTCAAGCTAATAATCTGTATTGCTATAGACAGCTATGCTAAAATTATTTTATTTTAAGATCTGGACAGCTTGTTACCATGCCTTTATAAAAGAACGTAGTTCTCTTGCCCACCTGTTCAGCTTTCTCTACCCTTGTGAGCTCTTCCTCCCTTTCCTTCTTGTGCTGTCAACCATTCCAGAGAATTTTGACAGCATCTTTGAAGTTTCCCTTCATCCTTGAAACCACCAAGGTAGTAAAAGGAGAGAATTACCACTTTCATATCTTACCTGCAGACCTCTCCAACACATCTGGGAAATCAGTACATAAATGATAGCCTTTTTTTTTTCCAACAGGCAAGTTATATATATTTTTGCAATAGCCAAATTCAGATACATGCAATGTATATAGTGTGAAGGAAATGAAGGATGTGCTAGTGTGATAAATAGACAGACAAAACAGAACGTACACGTGGCCCTCATCGAGAACTTATCCTGGTAATTGTTTATCACATTCCAATGGAATATAAAGATTGAGATTTTTGGACTTGAACCTAGGAAAATTAATGTTCAAGTTCACTGAGTGATGAGACTTTGCAGTAGTCAGTTTCTCACCCTAGTTTCTCTCACAGAGTGTTGTGGGGACAAAATTAGGGAAACTCCTATGTATACAGAACCCTGAGCTAGAAAAACGGTGGGAAATTTTAAAAAAAACCTGTAACATTAACGCTGACATTTATTTATTATTTATTTATTATTTCATATTTCTAAACTGCCCATCTCCCTCAAAGAGAGTCTCTTTGGAATGGAAATACATTTAAAAGGTAATGTGCTTGATGACAATTTGTAGAAATCTGCATTGCTGTTGCCCATTTTTGTTACATTCTCACCTTATCGTGTGCAAGAAATATTACTATTTTTAAAACGTGTTTTAACATTTTCCATCCTGGGAAAGCTACTCTGAATGAAATAAAGCTGAGAATGCAGCAGGATGTTCCACAATCCAAAAGAAATAAGGATTTCTTGCAAAGGAAATGCTCATCCAAGAATTGAGCATTAAGAATATGCACTTGCAGTATCTAGGAAAGCTATATGAGTTTTCTGGGGTGGGGGGAATAGAGTGTTTGTGGATGGCAGGAAAATGCAAACACACACCCAGTCCTCACAAAAGCCAAGTTTTTAGGAATATTGAGGGTAATCATGAACGGTAAAAGGACCTTTCACCGGTCTGCGGAGGTAGGATGCCACAGAATTATATAACCAATTTCTCTCAAATTGGCAGCATCTGGTTATACGTTTAAATCCAGAATTTGCAATCAGTCCCACCTAAAGCTGGAATAATTCCTTTGGCAATTTTAATGTAATTTAATTATGATTGTTTAACAAAACCTTTTCATATGTACGTCTTTTCCCATTAGTTATAGCTAGGATAATGTCACTCACACAATACTGCAGGAGGTGACATTGTCTCACTGTTAATTCACTAGTCTAAGACTAAATTATCCAATCATTCATTCATCTTCCTCCCAATTCTTTGATTTATGAAAACAGTATTATAAACATACTTTTGCTTAAGTTTACAATAGCCTTAGGTCATAGCCAATTTTGCGGTTGCTTCTGATGCAAGTACTGTATTTCCTGCTATGCAAAAGAACACTTTTAAAATGCCAGTGACTGCAGATAAAAATGGAGATAAAACAATCCTTTTCTCTGTATAATAGCCCTTGGTTTTCCAAAGTAGATAACCAATTTATCTATGAAAAACCTGTTTTAATAGTTATTTTTCTACAAAACTTCAAAAGGAGAAAATATTAAGAATTGAAAAACCCTCTTGAAAATGAGCCACATCAAGCTACTATGCCATAAAATAATTATTATTGCAGAAAACTATTGAATTATTGAAATTAACAACATAAATCAGAACAAGCTGCTGCAGGGATGTAACATTTGATGGAATCAGTAGAAATGGAGATGGAGTCAGTTCAAATGTACAGTTGGCCTCTGTATTCTGCATTTTGTCAGGCAATGGCAAACCACTTCTGAAATCTTGCCAAGAAAATTGCCTTGTCCAAGTAGTTACCAACAATCCATACATGGAATGGCACGGCACTGCACGGCATGGCATGGCAGGGCAGGGCAGGGCAAGGCAAGGCAGGACTGGACAGGACAAGGAAGGACAGCGCACGACAGGAATTGAAGGTAGACAGTAATATCAGGAATGCAGCATATTGTCCCGCAACATCATTTTCCCGATTTAAGAGATAGAATTTATGTGTCTTCCACGCCAGTCTCCATCAGAGCTGCAGATTTTCACAGCTTTTCAAATCCAGG